TACTAAAGTGTTGCAATAATGTGTGTTTATTTACATAGAAGGTAATGAATGCACTGTACCATAATTCTCGACACCTGGGGTAAAGATAGACCATTCTCTATCTAGACAAATAAATCTTTTAGAATTCAAGCAGTAATTTTCTCGGAGCAAATAGGTACTCTAGTTCCTCTTCTGGGTAATTAAGTGTCAATTTGTTTGGAGTTATTCATATGTAGTCACACACCTATCATCGGGAAAGGGATTTTAGATTCAAGGCTTTTCACATTTGTTTACATTAGGGTATTTTATCCGTGGAGTTAAACTAATGTAAGTGGATTTATTAGACTAAACAAGAATGTAGCAGTCACCCATCACTCCTGTAACTTGACCGGGATAAAGTCTCCTGAGTCTTGCTGTAGTGTGTGTGTATTCAGTGCAGGTCTGTGTGAAAATGTGAATGTCTGTACGTGTGTGTGTGTGTGTGTGTGTGTGTGTGTGTGTGTGTGTGTGTGTCTGCGTGTCTGTATCCCCACCTGCGTTAATGTATCTGAATATTTAAGGCTGAATCCGCCCACCTTTCCCACATCACACGCGTTAGTCATAATGTCAGTTATAATTAATGTACAAGAATTGGATCCCCCCACACTCACAATTTTTAAGTCAGGACTATGAATTTTCGCTCTAGCAGCCAGTACACTCTAAAATTTCAATAAACTGTATTTTTAGAATTAAATTGAATTGCTTGAACGTTAAATTTGATATATGTTTTTCTTCTAATTCGCCCAATGTGTCCCCCATGCCTTATTGTATTTATGTTTAACAAAATAAAAGCCGCCGCTAGGTCTTGTAAGAGGAGCCTTGGATATTGAATACAAGTATGAGGCTACCCACCTTTAAGGGCTCAAAGCTGCAGGTGCACACATGATCTCATAACAGGAATTCTCGGAAAGTTTGGGCCATTTTAGGTAAAACCAAGTTAGCATAAGCTGGTCAGGTTTAGGATTTCTTTTACTCTGTGGTTTAATAATGTTTTATTTGCTTCTGTACTTATGTCTTAGTAATATGTTTACATGTCTATCAATTTATTCTCCACTATCTTAGACCACTCGTAGGAGAAGCTGTTTTATTAGTGGATTATTCTCTCTGATGTTTGACAAGTGGATAAAACTGTCTAGATTTTCATAACATTTATAAAACATTAAGATTATTTTACATTCATAAGGCGTTACGGTAAATACAGTGAAACCTCCATATAACGGACTCACAACAAATAAACCCTCTAAATAACGGATTTTCCTCTCCATGTAGTCCGTTAAATAGAGGTTTTACTGTACCATCTGGTCTTTACAGCGGGGTAGTCCTGTATTAGTCTTTAATAAATGCTTGTAATTACTCCCGGCGTCTGATCCGGTTAATATCCTCTAAGGTCCCTCATTTTTAGAAAGTTCGGTAACCTGGTATCCGGAATCACGTTAAGTTATGGTTTCAATAATCTTAATCCAAATTACCTGTCATTTTCATGGTTTTTAAGACTCATCATTCCACGAGAACGAGAAAAAGAGAGAAATAGAAAAGGAATGAGAGAAAGAGAAAGAGAGAAAAGGAGAGAAAGATAAACAAAAAAAGAGAGAGAGATTATTGCCCGAGTCCTCGTAAACAGACTTCCTCTTGATGCGGAAACTTCCTCCCAGAATCTCAATGTAGTTTTAGACCATTACGTGGCACCACTGACATGAACTTTGCTGCCCGCCAGATACAGTAAAAGTGCAGAGAACAGCTTTGTGACCTGTACATGGCCTAAAACTTGGTCAACAGGGAAGCCCTTTGGTGGACTCTCAGCTGTTTTGGCTGCCCCCCAAAATTCATCGCCATTGTGAGGCAACTCCACGATTGCATGAACGGCAGTTCTTCACCATCAAATGAGGGTTAAACAAGGGTGTGTACTGGCACAAACTCTTCTTTCCATTTTCTTGGCTGCCTTCCTTAGTCGTGCCAGTGCCAATTTAGCAGGCGGGGTGGACATCGAGTACCGAATGAAGGGTCTTTTCAACATAAAATGACTCCAGGCAAGAACAAAGGTATCGGCAGCTTCCATTACTGAACTTCAGTATGCAGACGACCTCACTCTCTTTGCTCATACTGAACGCGACCTACAGGAGATCCTGAACACCTATGCAGATGTGTATGCACACTTCGGCCTTGAGGTGGAAGTACATAAGACTCGGATTCTCTTTCAACCTGCCCCTGGTTCAGACACACCTCCACCATCCCATCCAGCTTAACGGTACTACCCTCTCTATATGTTACCCACTTTCGCTTCCTCGGCTCCCACCTGGCCACCGCTGCGAACATCGATGAAGAGATTCAGCATCCGATCAAATGTGCATCTCAAGCCTTTGGCAGACTCCGAAACCGTGAACTGAAATTATCTACAAAGTTACGCGTATATCGATCAGTGGCCCTCCCCACCCTGCTATATAGCAGTGAGACAAGGGTCACATACAGGAGGCACCTCAAGGCACTTGAAAACTTTCACCAATGTAGTCAACTTTTCACCCTCCGAGTTCGCTGGGAAGACAAGAGAACAAAAGCCAGTATTCTTGCTGACACCAACTGTAGGAGCATCGAGGCTACCATTATCCATGAACAACTACGCTGGACAGGCCATTTTATCCGCATGGAGGACAGTAGACTGCCAAAGCAGCTACCTTACAGTCGCTTAACGAATAGTAAACGTAACGCCGGCGGGCAACTGAAAAGGTATAAGGATAGTCTTGAGGCAAACCTGAAGATGTGCCAAAACGACCCCCTCACCTGGGAGACAATCACTGCACATCGTAACGCTTGGAGGATCACCGCACGAGAAAGTGTCAATACTTTCGAGTTAGCCCGACTGTACACGAGGCAGACAAGCGCCAACGCCGGAAGATGCGACCACCATTCCTCCTACACTCGTTATAGCCCTCCATATGTGCAACATCTGTTAGCGACTCTGCCGGTCCCTTATCGGCCTCTTTAGTCCTTCAGAACTCACCAATGATGGTGATATCAGTAATAACTCATATCATTGTATCATACATAGCTGGATGATAGTCATACTCGAATCCGAGTAACAGCAAAGTAGTAGTATTACTAATAATGATGTATAGAAGATCAACGAGGCCACTACTGCTATTGGTACTACACAACTACTATTGTACCCCTGTACTACTACTACTACTACTACTACTACTACTACTACTACTACTACTACTACTACTACTACTACTACTACTACTACTACTACTACTACTAATAATAATAATAATAATAATAATAATAATAATAATAATAATAATAATAATAATAATAATAATAAAATAATTTTAATAATAATAATAATAATGATATTGATAATAATAAAAAAATAAATATAATTAAAAGACAAAAATTAACAAAAACAAAAAAATAATAATAATAATTTCGAGAACAAATATTTCCCAATAGAATTAACCCACAGAAGACGATTAAGTAGGGCTTGAGCCAAAACCCTCAAATTAAACGTAATTGACCCCCGGAATATCCCGAATGAAGTCCTGGGAGTTTATTAATTCGAGCTTAATTTTTTAATCATTTCAATCTACCGTCAACTCGATTAAGTTAGGTTAGGTAAGAGTCTTCCTGGAAAATCCTCAGTCTGGTTCTTACTCTCTCAGCAACTTTTGACCGTACGTATGTATGTGTGTGTGTGTGTGTGTGTGTGTGAATTAAAAAATATATTGACAGTTGCGTGAACATTACTGTTTTTGTTATGAATAAATTAATGCTGTTGTTGTCGTTGTTGTGAAGTTACTAGTGATTTCTTGTATCTGTTTAGTTGTTGCTGTTATTATTTCTACTCCTTTTATTAATGTTGTTGTTGGTGTTCCCATTCTTAAAAAAAAAATTGTTTTATTATTATTTTTTCTTCAGTTTCTCCTACTATTTTGTTGCAACTCTTATTATTATTGTTGTACGTAATCCCCCCATTGTTGTTATTAGCTTGGTCCTCTATTCAAGCGTGTAAAAGCCCCCCCCCCCTCCCAACGTCTACCTATGTGTGTGATTATAGTGTCGCATTAGTGCACGTGTCACAGGTGAAGCATAGATGAAAGGGTTAATTAGCCAAGATTAATCCAGATAATTTTTCCGTGATTGAAGTTTGTTATAACTCAGCACGATTAAATAAGGTCTCTCTCTCTCTCTCTCTCTCTCTTAGCATGATCTGGCAAATACCAATCCCATTAGGTGACTTTTCTGTACGATGGATCAAGTCTCAGTGAGATCTTATATAGCGACCAGAACCTCCACACACACACACACACACACACACACACACACACACACACACACACACGACCATACCATTACATTATTGTTATTGCTGATCATGCTTGAAAATTCTATATATTATCAAAACAAATATTTCCTTTTGACAATGAAGTTCTGTTACCATAAGATCTCGTTGGTACATCATGATAATATTTTACATAATGTTGGTTTAGTTTGGCTTGAGTTTCTTAGCCTTACCTTCAAGATTCATCACTAGATATTTCCTATTGTCAATGACATTTTGAATCACTGTCTTTTACACTCAGAGGAAGATCATTTGAGGTCTTAGAAAGTTCCCTCTTGGATGATGAGATCGTTCAGGATTGTACTAGGTTCGTGGTACTTCCCAGTTCACTATTGGTTTATAACCTTCGTTCACTGGGTCCAAGGGATCATTTACTTGTGTCATCGTCCACTGTAGTGATGGTTATTCTTACATTCTCCCATCCACTACTTCCGTCAGCTCTTACATTATTTCTTCCGTCTCTCCAGTTATCGCTTCTGCCATCTATCCAGTTATCACTTCTGCCGTCTCTCCAGTTATCACTTCTGCCGTCTCTCCAGTTATCACTTCTGCCGTCTCTCCAGTTATCACTTCTGCCGTCTCTCCAGTTATCACTTCTGCCGTCTCTCCAGTCTCTCCAGTTATCACTTCTCCAGCCGCTTCTCTCCAGTTATCGCTTCTGCCGTCTCTCCAGTTATCACTTCTGCCGTCTCTCCAGTTATCACTTCTGCCGTCTCTCCAGTTATCACTTCTGCCGTCTCTCCAGTTATCACTTCTGCCGTCTCTCCAGTTATCACTTCTGCCGTCTCTCCAGTTATCACTTCTGTCATCTCTCCAGTTATCACTTCTGCCGTCTCTCCAGTTATCACTTCTGCCGTCTCTCCAGTTATCAAGTCTGCCGTCCCTAAAATGATCACTTCTTCTCTCCAACCAGCTGTTGCTTCCACCACCAGTCCTCCCAATCTCGAGTCTGCTGTTCCTCCAGTTATCGCTTCTCTCCCTCGTCGTCCATTTATAGAGCGTTTGCAGCTCTATCTCCTCACCTCATAAGGGCGATTCACTACTCGTCTCTTCAAGCATCTGGAGGAACTTGCGACAGTTGTATGCGGCGGGAGGCCCCTTCTGTCCATTTATGTTTCTGCTTTTGAATATGATGGTGTCGTCCTTCATGGAGATGGTCACCAGACGACTACTGGCGCTCCTGGAGTAGTTGGTGTAGGTATTGACCCTCACCAGCTCAGGCTCCTGGGTAAAGTACCAGTCGTCCACGCACCGGCGGAGACACGGTAGCTTGTAGGCGACGTTGCAGAAGCCAGAGCGGAATTTAGTGTTCATCCAGCAGAGGATGACGGGGTTGTAGCAAGTGGAAGACATGGCCAACCAGTGGAATAACGCCCACAGGTAGATCATGTACGGCCACCCGTCGATTTTTCGCACCTCACGCACAACCTGTGGAGGTGTAGGAGGAAGTAATTAATCATGAAATGTACACACACATATATATATATATATATATATATATATATATATATATATATATATATATATATATATATATATATATATATATATCATATGCAGATATTACATCTGTATATATTATTTCCTTTGGAATTATCAAAGGGCTGGACCGTATTAAACTTTAACCTGTAGAAGATTTGATATAATTTGGTTCCCAATAATTTTTGTTCACGAGGATAATATATCAAGGTATATAGGAGACGATACCTTTGATGCAAGAAAAATATCTTCATAGTTTCACTGAAATTTTTTATTATTATTTTTTTTTAATCATCATTCCAATGAATAGTTGGAATAATTGAAAATATTACTGTGCACTACACAACACTCGAGTACCTTAGAGAGGATTAACGCACAGTGTACGGATAATCTGTAACATTATGACCGGATTTTCTAGATCTTTCACCAGATGCAATAACGAAAAATATTTTCACCATCCCAGCAGCGATCTTGCACAACCACGAATGCTTCACCTACCCTACGATACCGATGATAATATTAATTTCCTCTACACCCAAGAGGGATGAGTGTGTGTGGCGGGGATGGAAGGTGAAAGGTTATAAAAGGAACAGGCGTGGGAGGAGGAGATAGGGGAATGGGGGAGAGAGAAACCAATGAATACTAAGCGTGTGTCAAATGACCCTGGAGTTGTTGAATATTGCGAGGCATTAATGGTATTTATTAGTTTACATTACACAGGCACTTCAAAAATGTCAGAATTATTAAACTTCAATGTGTGTGTGTGTGTGTGTGTGTGTGTGTGTGTGTAGGCCATATGTACTTAAAAAATTAACACATCATGTATTATAGAAGCCTTGGTAGAATAGCTAGATGGGAAATATTTACATAGTGTTCTGAAGTAGCCAAACACAACAATGATGCCAGTTCTGAGTGGTACTGAAAACACTGGATGCTTCAGTAACGAAAATTTAGCAATGTTTCGTGATTTTGTCTCATAAATGGTTTCAGGAAAGCATAACACACCCAACACCTTGTCTATAAAACCTTAACTGTATATTTATATCTAGTCACGTGCTAGATGTATCCATTCTCTCTCTCTCAAGGCAGATAATGTTTGTGTATGCATTGACAACCCTAATCCTTCACCGGTGTACCAATGAATATACGCAACACATCCATATTAACCAACCACTGTGTTTACCAAGCTGTACCAAAATTCTCTCCACCCACTGTTGCAGAAAGGAAACTGCGCTGCGCCAGGTGCCCACATTCCCTTGCTATTGACCTCATGGGAATGCATTTTACACCCCTTCTCCCACTACTGAATCTCGGGTATGACGATCTTCCCCCTGTGATAGATGTTCACACTCAGTATCATCAAGGGGAACTAGCTGATGTAGAATTCATTTTTATAAGTGAATTTATAGGGTAATTATTACAGATAAAACAAAAATATCACAAAAGACTAAAAAAATAATCACTGTTTTGAAATGAAGGGAGTGTATTTACCCTTTAAGGAAGATGGTTGGTATTTAAGGCTAAGTTATATATGATTTATGTGATAGTCCTGAGTTGAATCTTTTTATTAGTATCGTTTATGAACTGTTGGTGTTGTTATGTGATGATCTTGATAGAAAAAAATGCCAAATATTTCCAATTACACTGTAGTGGAAGATAGACTCGAGGCTTGTGTTGTCGAAAAAAAAATTTAAAAGTATTACATTTGACACATTATATATGACAGATATATGAGGTAATGCGTTCCTTGCCTTTGATATTACATAGACGTAAAGACTGATGTGCACTACGGATTGGTAATGTTCATCTTGTATCACCCAATGAGTGACGACTTTCATATATTTTACACCTTGTCTGTGTTATAGCAAGATCTGGGTGTCATGAATCTGATTACATACAAAATAAATCGAGTCTCGGAGAAAATAATCATTGGGTTACGTCTATTAAATGTTTTATGCCTTCATCCCATGTTTAGTGAAGATTTACTTGATAATATACATGTTATTGGATATAAATCATCCTTATTGATATCATCAGTACCTTCAAGATAACTGAGTACTTTTCCCATAAAGATAAAATCGTTTAGTCAGAAAATTAGGTCTTGTGAATTAGATAGTTCCAAAGGTAATAAATCTTTTTGACGCTGAGAGCTATTTGTACGGTGATGGCGTTGATTGCACCGTCTCATTAAAATCACGACTTTTCAAATTCTATAAAATTTTAAGATTGACTTTCGATTCGGTGATAAGCCTGAAGCAATTAGGGATACTTCATCTGGCTATATGCCATTTTGTGTATTAACATTAAATAAGGACTAGTTATGCCTACCTAAAGTATGTCAAGGTTTCCAAGTTCTGTATCAACGTGTAGATAAAGTCTTGTTAGTAATAAATATGAGATGAAACTCAAAGAATGATTTGCTGTACTTTTTATTATATTTTTAGTTCCAATTCGAAACTCCCATAAAGTAAGATTAACTTAGGTAATTCATATTTCCTGCAGTATTGTTGTGGTTATGAGTGACATCCTCTGAACGAACTAAAATCCTTTGAGTTGAATTTATCCGTCAGGTGGCAGTGGCGCGAACGTTGTGGATTATTTTTTTTATTTTGTATGATCCACTTTTAATGCTATACCTTGTGGTTAAGTTATGCATTGAAACTAATGTTGATGTATATACTGTGTTAATATACCAACGTGAGCAATGAAATGTTATTTATTGTTTATTAACTATGTGTTGTTACAGTAAGGGATTAATGCATACATGAATATCTGAAAGGTTCAATTGAATAAAATCTTTGGAAGTGGTCGACTTCTTTGTGTCTCGTATTCATTCACAATGTATTTTCAAGTCAAATTGTTTTCAAATAAGCTAATTGGAAAACCCTTCGATTAACTGTCCTAAGCAAATCACACACACACACACACACACACACACACACACACACACACACACACACACACACACACACACACACACACAGCAACTACAAAATTACCAATATTACTAAAGAACATTTCAGTCTCATTTTCTTTTTCACTTTATTAATACCGAAGTTATCAATCCATATATTGTATTCATTTATTGACTTATCTATTATTTCCTCTATGTGATAATTCACACACATTCATTTTTACATGCATGAAGTTAAAATCAACTGAAGTGACTGGTGCACACATTCAGATACGACGAACAGTATTACCTAAATAAAAATAAAAATAACAAGTGATAAATCGTAAGGGACAAGAAGTATCATATATTTTCTTAATGTTACGCTAAATTGTTCTCAGACGCGAAGCTCCGACATTACTTCGATTAAACAACTATAATAATAACTAAACACTATTAATTGGTCGATATAATTACGATGGACGGATATTGACTTCATCATGTGAGTAATAATTTCTGAGTGGTTATAATAAGAAATAACTTGATAGTTATTATATATAGCGATACTTGAAGGTAATTGATAATATATAGAGATCTAAGAATATTTATAAAATATGATATCTGGAAGTAATTTATGAATGAATGAATGAATGAATGACTACTAATCCACTGAATGAAAACAAAAATTACTACTAAATATATGACTCAATGTAAACTTCATTCACCACTGTCAGTAAATACTTGCCTGGCTCAAGTTCATTACACGGCTAAAAACGCAGATTCAGCTCAATGCAGTTTCATTACACATTTGTATATTGAGTGTGGATATATTGCCTAACGCTCGAGAAAAAAAATAGAAGCTGATGTACCAGTTTATCAAAAGGCTGCATCACATACAAGTTATCATATTTTGTGTTATAATATTTACTGTTTGTGTATGTCTATGATATTAACTCTAAATATAGGTTTTCTGCTTATTAATTGGAACTTTGGCACATGGTGTGTTGTCTGTGGTGTGTGTTGTTTGTGGCGTGTGTGTGTTGTTTGTGGCGTGTGTGTTGTTTGTGGCGTGTGTGTGTTGTTTGTGGCGTGTGTGTTGTTTGTGGCGTGTGTGTGTGTTGCTTGTGGTGTGTGTGTGTGTTGCTTGTGGTGTGTGTGTTGTTTGTGGTGTGTGTAGTTTATGCTGTGTGTGTTGTTTGTGGCGTGTGTGTGTTGTTTGTGGTGTATGTAGTTCATGCTGTGTGTGTTGTCTGTGGTGTGTGTGTTGTTTGTGGCGTGTGTGTTTGTTTGTGGTGTGTGTAGTTTATGCTCTGTGTGTTGTTTGTGGCGTGTGTGTGTTGTTTGTGGTGTGTGTGTTGTTTGTGGTGTATGTAGTTTATGCTCTGTGTGTTGTTTTGTGGCGTGTGTGTGTTTGTGGTGTGTGTGTGTGTTTGTGTGTGTGTGTGTTTGTGGTGTGTGTGTTGCTTGTGGGTGTGTTGTTTGTGGAGTGTGTTGTTTGTGAGTGTGTTGTTTGTGGAGTGTGTTGTTTGTGGAGTGTGTGTTGTTTGTGGGTGTGTGTTGTTGTGTTGTGTGGTGTGTGTTGTTTGTGGTGTGTGAGTGTGTTGTTTGTGGAGTGTGTTGTGGTGTGTGTTGTTTGTGGTGTGTGTTGTTTGTGGTGTGTGTTGTTTGTGAGTGTGTGTTTGTGAGTGTGTTGTTTGTGGTGTGTGTTGTTAAAGGTGTGTGTGTGTTTGTGTGTGTGTGTTGTTTGTGGAGTGTGTTGTTTGTGGAGTGTGTTGTTTTGTGGTGTGTGTGTGTTGTTTGTGGAGTGTGTTGTTTGTGGTGTGTGTTTGTGGTGTGTGTTGTTTGTGGTGTGTGTTGTTGGTGTGTGTGTTGTTTTGGTGTGTGTTGTTTGTGGAGTGTGTTGTTTGTGGTGTGTATTGTTTGTGGTGTGTGTTGTTTGTGTTGTGTGTGGTGTGTTGTTTATGAGTGTGTTGTTTTGTGGTGTGTGTTGTTTGTGGTGTGTGTTGTTTGTGGTGTGTGTTGTTTGTGGTGAGTGTGTTGTTTGTGGAGTGTGTTGTTT